AATACCGTCATACCGCAATATTGATTTTTTTCAATATTACCGTAGGCGCATGACTCAATAAATCTATATTTCTGAGAAAAGTTTGCTTAGGCGAATGAAGCGAACGGGAGGTAGCGGGAACTACAATTCCCATCAGCCTAGGCGTGGCCATCATCCTTTGCAGTCTGTGGTCACTACAGATCCAGTAATGCGGAAATGGAGTGTGCTGCTAGTAGCGGGGAAGAAAAAGAGCTGGAACCTAAAGCGGGTTTTAAATCGGATGTGTGGAAGAATTTCGGTTTGTTTCTAAAAAGATACAAAAAAGGAGAAAAGGTGACAGACAAAGAAAAAAACAGTATGCAGGCACTGCCAGACTGTGGTAAAATATAAGTCGGGGAATACGACTAAAAACAGTCATGGGGACTGCAGAACACAGCACACTTGTTAGATTGATGCAGACATTGACTTGTACCGCAAAGAGACCTCTATCTCACTCATGGCTTGTCCTCTCAAGTGGTGGAAAGACAATGCACAATGTTACCCACTGCTGTCAACCTCGGCTAAATCATATCTCTCTGTCCCAGAAACCTCAGTCCCAAATGAGAGGGGTTTTTTTCTGTTGCAGGGGACATGTTCAGAGATCCCAGCGTTTACCAGATTATAGTTTTATGATAATTTTCCTTAAAAAACCCATCTCTATTCAAGTGAGTGAGTAATTAAATGTTGAATGTGATGAGTTTTCAACAATACTAAATTGAAACTTTTTTTATATATGGTTTAATGTTTTTTTGTTATTAAAATTAAAAAATTTAAGTTCCTGTTTCGAAACTTACAGATAGATGGCTAATTTGTATGTCATTGATATGTTCAGTGCTAAGGTAAATAAACACTTTAGCCACTTTTTTCAAGTTTTTTCATTAGTTTTGTTTTTCCTGTAAATTATTCAATAAATACCCTACCGTGCCATTCATACCGATGTATTATCGTACCGTGAAATTCTGATACCGTTACATCCCTAATGCTTACCATTTGTTATTAAAAGCATTATTAGAACAAGTTATTTCGCTGCTAAAATGAGACATTTGTCAGATTCGCTCTTGCATTATGTTAAACAATATAAAGGCTAGAGTAGCTATCATGACACTAATAAACATTAATTTTCATGCACAACACTTTGTGTTCGCTATGAAAGAGAAAACATCAAATGCTTGTCGTAATCATAACTCTAAAATGCGATATGATCATTTAAATGATGTGCGGGCCAGTTTCACTTTCACTGCTGAGTACGGCTCAAGTCACTTTGAGAAAAAAAACATACATGCAAATCATACTTCTCGTGCGACTCCCAAACGATTGCTCTGTGCAACAAACTGAACAAGTTAGTTTACAACTTTATTACCTGGTATTTAAGGATTATGCAAGTTCTGTTCACTATCATTGGCATGCATGCGTGCATACTCTCAGTAGTAAACAGTGCGTCAGCTCATCGGTGATTTTCTGGCCATTAATATATCGTTACAATAAGCAATGTAATGCCCCTACTTAAACAAGATGATTAGTAGGGGTGTGACGAGACACGAGATTGAGTTCACAAGAACAAGACGTGATTTTTATACTATTTTTGGATATCCTCAATGATGAAATGTATGAACGGAAAATAGTATTTCATTAAAAAAACAAAAACAAATGTGGAAGTCAAAGTATTACTGTAGTCAACACCCGACATGAGAGAGTAGATCTGATGACTAAAGACAATAAAACTTATTAAACAGTGACCGTGTCTACACAACAGACAATAAATAGATGATTCAGTTTTTTTATGACAATCACTACAGAGGAAATATGCATCATGGTGTCACTCAGTAGCAGAAAAAATATTATATTGTATCAGTGTAATGGAAACTGTTGCACTGTTTTTGAAAATATTAAAAGTTAATATTTACTCCCCAATCTTATGAATCGATCGCAAGTGTTCATTCGATTTTACACACAGAGATGCAGGTGCACACCCGGGAGTGCTACAACACGTGAGAAGATAAATAACGCATGGTTCGTGCTGCACTCCCAACACAGCAGCTAAAATATATACTGACGTGGTGCGACCTCTATTCATACATTTTATTGGCATGACCCTCGCGAGAGATGCTCTCATGTTGCAACCATTGTACTGTATATCCAGTGTTTCGATCTGCTGTGACTGGTGTCTTATCCAACCCTATGACCTCTGACGGAAGCTTTGCGGGTCTCCCGCCTATTCATAGCTGCTAAGGGAGACCCGCAAATCATGGCGACAAGAGTGGATGAGCAAGAGAACAGCTCGCAAGAAACACATTGATGTTCTAAGCATTACATTTGTTAGGTTAAATTAATAGATAAAACTTTTTGTAATATACTTATCAGTGGTGTAAACAACCAATTACAAGTACTCAAACTACTGTAATTGAGTAGTTTTCTCTGGAATAGTAATTTACTAAGTAGGTTTAAAAATGTGTACTTTTACTTTTTACTTACTTTGCAAATGAGTCCATTTTTAGTGATGTATCGTTACTTTTAATGCCAATACTTTCCTTCAACCTGCAGTCACTACTTTATTTTTCTTGTCTATGTAGATTAGAATATTCAGTTCTGTGATTCCTGTCCAATCAAATCGCACATATATGTAAATCACATCATAATGAACTACCGCAAGACATGGTGATTTATAATTGCAGCAAACTGTTTAAAAGCATTATAAGTGTCCAAGAAAATGTTCAAAAGTCTTTACACGCAATGACCTAGAGTCTGTTTAGATGCATGTCACTTCTGAGTAGATTACAGATGTTTACTGCATGATGACCGAAATAGCCTTTAACACCCAGCAGGCACAAGACCTCTACATGACGTCAGATTAAAGTTGTACCGCAATGTCGTGGAGACGTTGCATTATGTTTGGAAATGAGAATCAGGTTGACGTCAGAACTATCTAAATATCAACATCTAATGAGATAACAACTTGACGTTATGATGACGTTTATCAGACGTTGGATTTTGGTTGCCATACCTGACGAATAAATGTCAGTGTTTGACGTCAATATGACGTTGGTTTAGGAGGACGACACAACCTAAAGTCAACCAAATATCAATGTCATTTGATGTTGTTATTAGACATCAAAATAACGTTGTCCTTAGACGCTGGCTAGACATGGAATTTTGGTCACCCGATATCACAACTTAAATCTAACCTAATATTTAAGTTTTATGACGTTGTGTGCCTGCTGCACAATAACTAAATGCACTACAGAATGTTACGTTTACACACATCCACAAATTACATGTAAATGCATCAGCTTTTTATAGCGTAATACTCACAACTCGAGTACTTTTGAAAGGGCTTACTTTGAGTAATATTTACAACAGATACTTTTACTCTACTTGAACTACATTTTTAGGCAAGTAATAGTACTCTTACCCAAGCATAAATTTACAGTACTCTTTCCACTGATACTTACTGCAATAAACAGAACTTTATAGGCCTATTTTCTTGACATTTTTAAAGGATTATATGCAACATTATTTATTTATTCTCTTAGTAAAATCTCCACTTAGGTATCATACTTGGAGGGGAAATGTGCTTTATGCATCCTAAAGCATTGAGCATTTGAATCGCTTGGTATCGGTCAATCATGAGGAATCGAACCTCTGTATCAGCTTTAAAAATCCTGATCGGAACATCCCTAATCAAGCAGAAAGACTTTTACACTATAGAAATAACGGTTACACAGTACCTATTAGGGCAGGGATGTCAAACTCAATTCCTGGAGGGCCGCAGCCCTGCACAGTTTAGTTCCAACCCTGCTCAATCACACTTACCTGTATGTTTCAAACAAGCCTGAAGGACTCAATTAGGCTGTTTCTCAATATGCCTTCTTCAGCGGTCTTGCGTCCTCGTGTAATGTCAAATCAGCTGCTAAAGTTCACTTCCAATACTCAAGACAGCAAGAACAGAGGATGAGTGAAACTTCTCGATATCAAGAACACATCCAGGGACGCACCAATGCAGACTTGAGCACTGAACTTGCTCTAGAAGTCCCAGAAGTCATTGCGACTGGAGGTGGGAAGCACAGCATTTAATATGGGTTTATTATTAAAGTTCAGAGAGATAACTTATTTACCTCAGGAGTTCCCCTAAATGAAACGATGAATATAAACATTACCATGGACATCTTAATAAAGGGTTAAAAACATTAAGGGTGTTAGTTTGCTGAAATCCGTATTAAAATCTGTTTTATTTATACTGTGCAACGTATATTTATAATGTTTTTATGCAGAGTATATATATTTTGAAAAGGGGGAAAACAGTAAATCATTGTAATGTTAAAACAATTTTCCATTTAAAACCAGTGAAGGTCATGTGACCATCAGGAAGAACGGCGCATCTCCTTTCTCACAGCTCTCTGTTCTAGTGGTCTCCCGAGTTTGTTCTTCCGAGGACACCAGGCAAGACCTATCTCCACAAGAACGCAAGTCCATTATCTGCGTTCTTGGAATTGAGAAACAGCCTTAGTTTGATAAGGTGTGTTTAATTAGGGTTGGAACTAAACTGTGCAGGTCTGCGGCCCTCCAGCAATTGAGTTTTGACATCCCTGTATTAGAGTAAATATATATATATATACTGAACGAATGTGCGAATATAAACCAACTTGACCTCACTATTGAACACTGCTGCTACAGTGTATCACTTATGTGTTACTTTGTAACATTATATAGGAAATATTTGTTACAGGAAGTCGCTCTAGGGTGACTTGACAGTTCTTTTGCGGAGTGAAGCTGCGCGTGAGAGTCACGCCGTAATGCGCCCTGCTGTTTATTCCTTAAAAGCTGTCACACCGCTTGCTTACTTGGCGATGTAAAAAAAAACACACAGGACAAACATTACATTCACAACCCTATTAACAGTTTCATTAACGAGCAAAGCTCACTCTAAAGTTTCCAAGTAAATATTTGGATAAAAAAACACTCCAACGAACTCTTTTCATACTCACGTTTTCTGTATCTCTCTCATTGACAGTAGGTAGTGGTGTTCTAGTTGACATTTTAATGTGTCTTTATCTCCAAAGTGGACCCGAGTCTGATCACAGCAACCTTTAGTTCGCAGGGTGGACAGCTGCCGGACACCAGCTGATGAAGACCATGGAGTGGATCGACATCCAAACCAGATTCCAGCACGAGTAACAGATCCAAGATTAATGCAATAACGTATCCAGACGCATAACGGCACACAACAGGTCACCGGCGACACAAAGCAGCAACTCTCCGCAAAAGACCTGGCAACCGACAGGTCATAACCAAACCATCGTCCTGGATTACTTTAAAAAACTTTGCGAGAAGTGCCTATTGTAAAACTCAAGCACAAACAATTCCCAGGCCCCCTCAGAAACTGCACACAGCGTTCAGACAAGGAAAAAAGGGGAGGGGGCGTCCGCTTCAAACCGGTTCTGGGTCTTAATATAGGCTTTCTGAATGCGCGGTCTCGTTCATGTGCTCCAGACGATCTGCTCTAAATCACTCCAGGTTGATTAAATTCCTCCCATCCCGAAGAGTGTGGTTTTGCCAGTCTAGATAGAGCTCCGTCCAAGATGGCTGCGTGCTGGCTGATGGTGCCAAGCCAAACCCAGCGCTGCGCAGCCGGAGGAAGTGAGGACAGAGGCGGCTGCTAGAGCTCATTGGCCGGCGCGCCGCTGTTTGTTGTTGCTGGGGTGATTACTAAGGAGAAAAATGTACCTGTCGCACAAAAAAATGCCCGGCAAAATAACTCAGCGGCAGTGCTCTATCGTCAGATCCTTCATCCGGTGACGATCGTGACATGAAAATGCTGGAATGTGGGAAACTCTTATCAGACTTAAAGAAATGACTTGTTCAAACTACTTATTTGAAACGAGTTGAAAACACAGTTCTTATTTTTTCTTTAGAACAAGCAGTTTTATGTTCAATCTACTTAAATATTTATAGTAATCCACTGTAAAATTATTAGGTTAACATTTGTGTTGGGAGTGGGACAATATTGTGTAGAATTTTTTACAATGATAGTCCACCATATGACATTTCTGCCACCATCTTTCCATTCATATAGAGGTAAAGTTGGTTTTATATTCCCACATTCGTTCATTTAGCAGTCTCTATATTGTTTACCATGTTACTTTGAATATTTGATCAGAATTAGCATGCAAATATTACTTTAAAACAACATTAACACTATCTAATTCACTGTGATGTTGTACTTTAGTCATTTGCTAATATGATTTCCCTATTTAGAATTTGCAAAGAATACTTTTCTGAAATTACATTATTAAAGAGAATGTCTGAATATCCGAATATAAAACCAACTTTACCTCTATTCCGTTCATTCATTAATTTTTCCTTCAGCTTACTCTCTGATTTATCAGGTTGCCACAATGGAATGAACTGCCAACTAATCCAGCATATGTTTTATGCAGCAGATACAAACTTGTATTCATTTTTTTCTTCTGCAGAGAATCAAACAGTTGCTGGTCCCGATGCCTTCCACAGTATTATTTTCTCGATTATAAAGAGAATATAATACAGGTTTGGATTAATTTAAGGGTGAGTATATGAACCGTTTTGAACAAATAACGGTAAATGAAAAGAAAATCTCACAGATAAATAGACAGACAGACAGATAGATAGATAGATTTTCTATAAATTTTGCTTTTATAAACAATATGAGTTTAAAAATAAGAATAGTTTATTTATATTTAAATTATTGATTATTATTTTTTTTATTTTTAAAAAATTACAGTTTATTGAATTCTTTAGTCTATCTAATAAATAAAAATGTTATCATCTATCTATCTATCTATCTATCTATCTATCTATCTATCTATCTATCTATCTATCTATCTATCTATCTATCTATCTATCTATCTATCTATCTATCTATCTACCTACCCACCCATCTATCTCTGTCTGTCTGTCTGTCTGTCTGTCTGTCTGTCTGTTAGTTTCTTTTATACCAGGTTGACAGAGCTTACACTACCTGACTGAAGTCTTGTCGTCAATATCAGTTGTTAGAGCAACAAATAATAACGACTTCTAGTTGTCCAAATTTTTCAGCAGGATAGCGCTCCTTCTCATACTTCAGCCTCCACACTAAAGCTTCTGAAAGCAAAGAAGGTCAAGGTGCTCCAGGATTGGCCAGCCCAGTCACCAGGAGCGAACATTATTGAGCATGTTTGGGGCAAAATGAAGGAGGAGGCATTGAAGATAAATCCAAAGAATCTTGATGAACTCAGGGAGTCATGCAAGAACCCTTTCTTTGGCATTCCAGATGACTTTATTAATAAGTGATTTGAGTAATTGCAGAGATGTATGGATGCAGTCCTCCAAGCTGATGGGAGTCATACACAATATGAATCCTTTTTCCACTGCACCACGACTTTATATTCTATACTGGACATTCTTTCTGTTAATTGCCAATACTTTAGTCTTAGCAAAGTCAGACCTTACTGTCCTAATTAAATCTTTAAAAATTATTCTCCAATCCACAGATAAACTTATAGGTCAAATTTCTCATCAAAGCAGAAAATGATCAAACTCTTACCTTACAGAATAATTTACTTGCACTACACCATCTGTTTTTAATTTTCATACTATCATTGTATGCAACCTGCAGCTTATCTAGACTCTCTCTCTCTCTTTAGAAAGTATACCACAGAGGAGCTGTATATAAAGAACTGCAATAAGTTCTAAACAGGTTTACCTTAACCTGCTTCGAACACAAATAAAAATTCCTCATCAGCATATTTGCTTGAGCATATAACTTTCAACGTTCCATGTACATACTGTATTATTATCATCACTCATATCTTCAGTATTGACCTGCCCTAAATATGTAACAGTTTTACTGACATTTAAAACTTGCCCTGACAAATATAAAAGGTTAAAGAAGCATTTTAGTGGGGAAAAACATCTCACGCTGCATGACAGATGGTGCATGCACACAAACAAACACATGACAGAGCCACAAAGGCTATTTTGCTTTGTTTTGTGTTTCTGACAGAGAGGATAAAGCCGCACCTCTAGCTGAGCACTTCCTGTGTGGCCTCTCCTCTCTTCAATTACACAGAAACAAACTCATACAAAGGAGAAACACATTTGTACAGTAAAATTCATATTGATTTCATTAAGGTTACAGAAGAATGCACAGCAAAATATTGTTCACCTAAACATGAAAATTCTTACAAACTTTAAAAAAAATAGTAGACTTTATTTTTATGGTCCCTGCTGCACATTTTGTTGACTAAAATTTAATTGCAAACTACATGCCAGTTACTTCTCATTTGAGTATTAGTAGTCTAACAGCTTTACATCTGCTGATACTGCTCCTTCAACAGACATTTAACTGACTATAAGAAACTTTGTAAGTACATGTCAACTTACACCAACCCTAACCCAACAGTCTACTTATAATTTATTGAGAATTAGTTGGCATGCAGATGCAATGTATCTTAAAATTCAACAAAATGCGTAAAAGGGACCGTCAAAATAAAGTGATACCATAAAAAGATATTCTGACAACCCAGTGGCCATTGACTCACATAGTATTTTTTCTCTACTATGGATGTCAATGACTACTGGTCTTCAACTATCTTAAAAAATAACTATAATAGAAAAAGAAACATAAAGGTTTGCAACCACTGAGGGTGAGTAAACAGAGACCAAATTGACATTTTCTACTGTACTGCCTTTAAGGAAACTCACGTGATTCCAAATAAACAGCCTCTGTTTTAACTTGATATGTGTGTGTGTGTGTGTGTGTGAATAGAATGATGATATGCAAAATTTACTGTAAAAAAAAAACGCTAATAAAGGACATTTTGATTACTAATTATGAGTTCAGATTTGTTTTTTCAGAGATGGACTGATTAAAAATGATTTCTAAACATTTAATGTGCTTTTTAAAGATGCTCAAAGAATGCAAAACCAAGTATTACATTGTATCTAATTAGATTTTTAGTTTAAAGGTTTCAAAAGGATGCATAGCAAAGGTTACAGAGTTTGTTCTTCCAAACATGAAAATTCTTAGAAACTTGAAAAAAAGATATTTTGACTGATGTTGGAAAACCGTAGCCATCGACTTACATAGTATATTTCTCCTATTATGGATATCGGTGATTACTGGTTTCCAAAAATTCTTTGAAAATATCTATAATAGAAAAAGAAATATAAAGGTTTGCATTGCAACCACTGAGGGTGAGTAAATAGACTAAACTTACATTTTCAGCTGAACTGTCTCTTTAAGGCAGGGGTGTCCAAAGAAAAATTATTTTCAAACATTCAATATGAAAAATGCTTTTAATGATTCTCAAACTATGCAAAAGCAAATGCATTATGCATTACATTGTCTCTAATTATTACTTTTTTTTAATAAAAATGTATAATCTTGGGATATCTTCCCAGCATGTTTAAATGCAGTAAACATAACCTTAACCTGGTGGTTTGATGCCTTTTCTTTTTAGTGCTGGGTTATTTTCTAGACCAGAGATACCCAAACTAGGGTCCACGGGCCAAAGTTGCCCCATGGTCACCTTTGAATTGGTTTAGAGATTATCATTTTAAATTTAATGTAACCTTTTATTTGTTTGTTTTATTGTTAAGCTACAAAAAAGCTATCTGAAATTAAATTATTCAATTTAAATGGTGTAAATAAATCAGATTTAGTTTAAAATGTACATACAGTGCATAGAGGACAATGCAGAGACTTTAGTAAATGAATCAAAAGGCAGATTCTGCCTGACTAATGTATTCAGCATCAAACTGTGTTATAAATGTTATTGCTTATGTTTTTATTGCAAAAAAAAGTTATCCTGCATTAGTTAATACGATTCAAGGTATTTTTTTCTATTTGTTTGTTTTTATCATGAAAAGAATTAGGAAATTACCCATGGCAACTGTAATGTAATAGTTTGGTATATTTATCTTCGGCCCACGACAATCAATGATATTTGGTTTTTGGCCCTTCATACGAAAAAGTTTGGGCACCCCTGTCCTTTTATTGATCGTTCACTGACACCTAGTGGTCATAACAGATCATTGTCTTTTTTTGTTGTATCCTAATCCTACACAGAGGTAATAATTATGTATAATTTCAATTTAAGAATGTCTTGAAGAATATTATTATATGATTATCGTATTAATTGTCATTATCACAGCAGCAAGGGCTTGGAAAAGGTTGAAATATTGATTGTGAAATTGTTCTTAAATTATTTATAGCCCTCATGTTCGTAAACAATTTACAGTAACGCTCCATTTGTTAACATTAGTCAGTTAAAATAAACTGCTGATTAAAAAAACAAACTTAGAGTCATAATATTTTTTTAGTTTATATTTTAGTAATTTATTAAAACCAAAAGACGTAACTATTTGCATCTTGTAGCAAATATATCTTTCAATGCATTACCTTACATTTAATAAGACATTATTGTGAAGTATTACTTATTTTATCTTTGAATTCTTTTGCAATTGAATTCATTTGAGAATTTGTTTACTTTTTTAATAGCCTACATTAACTATTTTTAGCAGCTTATCAAATTGGTGATTAAAGCTTTAGGAATGATTGCAACAGGAAAATTGATCAACATGATTCTTTAAAGTTCTGAGTAATGCTTTTATCATTTAGTCAGTAAATAAAATGGTTTAGCCAGAATTAAAAGCAGACTGTTTTTGTCATGCACAAAAACACAGAGAATAAACACATCTGTGTTTAAACATAAACTTCTTCCCTGGACTTTGTTCGCAAATGACTCATAAGGAGCAGCGACTCACTGTTATGATTTTCTGATGACACATTTGCTCTTGATCCATGGTTAAGGTGAAAATGTAAAGCGAAGTCTTATAAAATGAAAAGTAATATGATGTTGCCAACAATATTTAAGATACAGAAATTATTTTTGGCTTATAACAGTGAACATATTTCCTTAACGTACATTACATTTCCTTAACTATCACAATTGACATGCCATTTGTTATCTTTGCAGTTTGTAGGAAATGAGTTCAAAACCAGTGGTGTGATCAAATAAAAAATGGATAGAAACACACATATTATACAAATGAATCACTTTTATTATTTTTTAAAAATTAAATAGCTATTTACTACACAAAATAACAACAAAGCAACCGTTTTAATATTTAATTTGTCTTTAACACTAAATGTGATGGAAAAATTCCTTTTTCTTACTGAAACATAAAAGTTCTCTTTCTTACTAGAAACATCACATATTGCCTTCCTAAGAAAAGATACAAAAGGTACAAAAACAAGAAGGTGATCATCTGCTTTTAAACATATGCATTCAATAAGTGTAAACCCTGGAAGAAATACCTTGATCCTTAGAGGAGGAATGCTCTAAAGAGAGCTGGTTGTCATCTGTGACGAAGTGGACCTTTAAGCAGGGGAAAGAAAATAAAACCATGGTGTCTGTTTAGCCTGTGTCACACTCTGCAGCAACCGGTGTTCCTGTATGACTGATGGACCTATTTTTGCAAAGAATAAAATATTTTTGGATATTAACCTTGTAAGACTTTGTTTCTTGATCAGTAAGAGTATCTTTATTTGAAATTCCCACAACAATAAAATAAACACACAAAAATAAATACACACACACACACACACACACGCACGCACGCACGCACGCACGCACGCACGCACGCACGCACACACACACACACACACACACACACAATCTATATAACAAGTTATGAAAAAGCACAACAAACTTGAAGTTGAATTTAAAACAATTATACCTTAAGAATAATAATTCAACTATTATATGTAATTCAACTACATTCAACTGTTATAATGTAATTCAAATATATTCAAATAACATTCTACTATTATACAGTTGAAGTCAGAATTATTAGACCCCGTTTATTTTTTCCCCCAATTTCTGTTTAATGTAGCAGATTTTTTCAACACTTTTTAAAACATAATAGTTTTAACTAATTTCTAATAACTGATCTTTTACTGGTGCCATGATGACAGTAAATAATATGTGACTAGATATTTTTCAAGACACTTCTTTACAACTTAAAGTGACGTTTAAAGGTTTAACTAGTTTAATCAGGTTAACTAGGCAGGTCAGGGTAATTAGGCAAGTTATTGTATAACGATGGTTTGTTCTGTAGACTACTGAAAAAATGTAGCTTAAAGGGGCTAATAATTTTGTCCTTAAAATGGTGCGTAAAAATTAAAAACTGCTTTTATTCTAGCTGAAATAAAACAAATAAGACTTTCTCCAAAAGAAAAATATTATTAGACATACTATGAAAATGTCCTTGCTCTGTTAAACATCATTTGGGAAATATTTTGAAAAGAAAATAAATGTCAAATGCCAAAAAGCCTATATATTTAATCATATAGCTTTTTTTTATAAATTTTCTATTATATGTTGTAAAATCTGTATATATAACCGTTAAGAGTATTAGGGTCTGTTCAAATAAAATAACACTGCATTCACAAACAGCAATTATTCAATTCATTTAGTTGAATTGATCGTTAATTAAATTAGCTTTTTCCCCCTTTATCATAATGTATCAAAATGACTAGTTTAGTTTAAATAGTTGCAAATTAGTAAGTTGGAACTTGTTTTATTTGTAAATGTATTACATTTGATTTTACATTTATAAGATAAAGGTTCTGGTAAATATTAAATTATATAAAATATACTTTCAATATTTTTATATACAGTATGTATTTATTTAGATACTTTTTAGCATGCAGTTTATTTACAATAATAATTATAATCTACAGAAAATAAATTCTATAGAGAAAGAGAATTGCTTAGGGCCTCCAAATCACTAAGTCCGCCTCAGACTAACAATGCACGACTTTGTTAGCATTAATTGATGCAAATAAAGACGAATAAATAGCCTACTGTAATAATAGTTTATTATTATAGCGTACATACATTAAATAACATTTTAGTGTTTTCGATATATATTTGCAAAATTATTTTTTTAACATATTAAACAATAAATGTAGCCATTACTGAAAAAAAATAGACATTTAAGAGATAAAGTTTAAAGATAAAGCTCTTTTTTTTTGACCTCAAGTTGATTGTAGATCATATAGCGCGTGGTCACTTCAGCTCACATTTTATGACGGCCAATCATCGACCAAAGTTCATTTATAAGTGATCTGTCATCTTCCGGCGAACAGGTGAGAACCGAGGCTCGACTTTCCGACTTCTCTAGACGCCCTCAAAGTCCTGGAAGAGGTCCATCATGGCTGCAAACGTCCAAGAAAACATTTACGAACAGGTCCAAGAGAAGACCGAAAACTTCTACGAGAAACCGTACGATAAAACGACAAACGCGGAGCCGAAATACGAGAATCACGACGCGGGTCAACAATCTCCAGAAGAGCCGATTTACAGCACTCTGGATCAGCCAGAATACACGGTAGGGTTGTGATATATGACAATATATATCGCGCAGATTAAATTGTAAGTCTATCGTTTTATATTATGCTCTATAGTTGATATCGTGGGGTCGCAGAATACATTGTTCACATATATAGTTATAGCTAATTTATGACTGTTATATTGCACGCCATTACACTGAAAAAATGTTAATTGGATTTACTTTTTTTTTTACTGTAACTGGTTGCACACACTTCATATGGGATGAATTTAAACAAATACAATTTATTAATGTTTAGTTTAATTTGTTTGTTTAAAGTCAGCCCATATAAATTGTATGCAATCAGTTACCTTAAAAAATGAGTAGGCTAAATCCAGTTAACATGTTTCTTTCAGTGTAAGGAGATGTAGACAGTAACATGAGTGAAAATAACATGAGCTGCAATCTTGCAAGCACATCGTTTACATTTTGCAATTTTTAGCAATATGTTGGGCTTGTAATAACTAGTTTTTGGAGATTATTTATAGCCTATATTTATTTTATATTTCTACATTTTTAACCAAACACTTACCATGACGTTCTAAACAAAGCAGAAATATAATCACACACTGGAAAAAAGATCACAGTTTTATCATTATTTTTTTCAGTGTGTGATCATATTTCTCACTTTGTTTAGAACTTCAGGATTTCACAGAGTATGTGGGCCGAATTTAAACTAATCAAATTTAGTAATGTTCAATTTTGTTTGTTTAAATTCAGCCCAAATAAATAGTTTGCAACCACTTACATTAAAAAAATTGTGAATCCAATGAATAATTTTTCAGTGCATATGAATAAGCAGATTTTTGAGTATATATTTTAAAATGTCAAAAAAAGAAGACGCTGTCAGGTCAATATATAAACTATTATTTGATTGAATTTACATAAAAGTGACTATATCAACATTTTTATCAGACATGTTTTATAGCACATTTAAAAACAACTATCGTTGACCAAAGTGCTTCACAAAGTCAAAATAAAATAAAAAACAGTCTAGTACTGAAAAACTCAACTCAAAGTGTACACCAACGCATACATGTGTGTCTTAAGTATTGATTTAAAAAAGCCAACAGTTTGAGCACTTCTTATTTCATTTCATTTTCTTCGGCTTAGTCCCTTTATTTATCAGGGGTCCCCACAGTGGCATTAACCGCCAAACTTATCCAGCATGTTTTACACAGTGGATGGCATTCCAGCTGCAACCCATTACTGGGAAACACCCATACACTCTCAAATGCACACACATACACTACAGTCAATTTAGTTGATTCAATTCACCTATACCACACAAGTCTTTGGACTATGGGGGAAACCGAAGCACCCGGAGGTTTTATATGTATTAATTAAATGATAAACCTTACCATTCCGTTGGTGTGCAATAAGTGCAATATTCTGTGCTTTTGAATGGTTGTAATTAGGGATGTAACGGTATTGTAAATACCGTCTTACCGCAATATTAATTTTTTTCGATATTACCGTAGTCGCATGACTCGGTAAAACTATAGGTCTTCTGAGAAAATTTGCTCAGGCGAATGAGGCGAACGGGAGGTAGCGAAAACTACAATTCCCATCAGCCCATGCTTGACAATCATCCCTTGTGGTCTGTTGTCGCTACAGATCCAGTAATGCGGAAATGGAGTGTGCTGCTAGAAGCGGGGATGAAAAAGAGCTGGAAAACTCTAAAGCGGGTGTTGTCGCCGCGCGCGTACTGAATAGCGGTGTTGTCGCGCGAGTTCTTATCAGCTGTGTTGTCGCGCGCGTACTGAATAGCGGTGTTGTCAGCACACTGTTCAGATTGATGCAGACATGAGACCTCTATCTCACTCATGGTATGTCCTCTCAAGTGGGGGAAAGACAATGCACAACGTTACCCACTGCTGTCAACCTGGGCCAAGTCATATCTCTCTTGTCCCAGAAACCTCAGTCCCAAATGAGAGGGTTTTTTTCTGTTGCAGGGGACATTGTAAATGCCCAGAGATCCCAGCTTTTACCAGATTATATTTATATGATAATTTTCCTTTAAACCCATCTCAATCTAAGTGAGTGAGTGATTAAATGTTGAATGTGATGAGTTTTCAACAATACTAAATTGAAACTTTATTTTTTTTACATGGTTTAATTTTTTTTGTTATTAAAATTGAAGTTCCTGTTTCAAAGCTTACAGATAGATGGCTAATTTGTATGTCATTGACACTTTTGGCACTTTTTTGGAGTATTTTCATAAGTTCTGTTTTTTTCCTGTAAATGATTCAATAAATACTGTACCGTGACATTCATACCGAGGTATTACCGTACCGTGAAATTCTGATACCGTTACATCCCTAGTTGTAATTAAATTTCTGTCGTGTTTCATTTGGTGCCAACAACCAAATCACTTAGAATCACTTAAAATCTGGTGTAGAAGCGTGTGGTTAGGACAAGGATGCAGTGTAACCTGATCACCTGATGTTGACGTTCGTAATATTTGCTAATCAATAACCACCTCATGTGGAACTCTGAATCTGCGGCTCATTTTGGAATCTGCTACTATCCACTGTAGGTTGCATTTCGGTCATGGACGCATGCTTTAAGAGCCTTCCTGACTGAATCAATAAAATACGCTTTTTTTCCATCAAGGCAACCCAGTGTGCGGAAATATAATAGGTTAAACATTGGGCGTATTAAAATAACCAAAACAAAGAAAGAAATTCCAGCAGGTAAAGCACATTTTCAAAGCAGTTTATTTGACTTTAACATTGTTTTTCAGATAAACAAGAATGTTCACTTAGCGTGCTTCTTAAATATCTGCAAACAAATTATGGTATTTTTATGCTTTAGAAGAGTCAAAAACTTACATACAGCAGCTTTAAACATAATTTGGGAAATATTTGCAAAAAAAAAAAAAACAGAAAAAACTTTATCTTAAACAGAAATTGGGGAAAAATATATAAATCATATAGGTGGCTAATAATACAAGAGGATAAATAATTTTGACTTCAATTGTATATCGTAATTAGGCTATGAGATGACTTGTATCATGTGAGATTTTTGTCCTATCATCCAGCCAGACTACATGGACACCAGAGGAACATCTCCAGATGAAGAGGACCAGCCTTCAGCCTCCAGTGACCGAGAAGAGACAGCCGACAGCGGCGTGATGGTGGCGTCTCTGTCCAATGGAGATGGAGATGGATACGGGTCTGGGAGATCGTCGTCTTTAGAGAACTATGGAGACCCTTGCGACGACCAGCCATCGTTGGCTCAGGATGACCTGCTCATGGCTTTCAGTCTGCCTGAAGACGGATCTCCAGAGCCGGAGGAGATTGTTGATTACAGCTTGAAGAACATGGAGAGCTGCGCCGCGGCGGAGGAAACCACTGAGGTGGCCGACCCAAACCAACCACAGGTCGCACTTTTTGTTAAGGTAAGACTCTAAAGGGGACGGCTGCTTCTCACTTAGGGCTGTCTATGCTAATGAGGGAGAGAATGGCAGATGGCTGCTTCTCATTCAAGGCTGTCTATGCTAATGAGGGAGAGAATAGCAGACGGCTGCTTCTCACTTAAGGCTGTCTCTGCTAATGAGGGAGAGAATGGCAGATAGCTGCTTCTTATTTAGGGCTGTTTATGCTAATAAGGGAATGAATGGCAGACGGCTGCTTCTAAATTAGGGCTGTCTATGCTAATGAGGGAGAGAATAGCAGACGGCTGCTTCTCATTCAAGGCTGTCTATGCTAATGAGGGAGAGAATAGCAGACGGCTGCTTCTCACTTAAGGCTGTCTCTGCTAATGAGGGAGAGAATGGCAGATAGCTGCTTCTTATTTAGGGCTGTTTATGCTAATAAGGGAATGAATGGCAGACGGCTGCTTCTAAATTAGGGCTGTCTATGCTAATGAGGGAGAGAATAGCAGACGGCTGCTTCTCACTTAAGGCTGTTTATGCTAATGAGGGAGAGAATAGCAGACGGCTGCTTCTCACTTAAGGCTGTTTATGCTAATGAGGGAGAGAATGGCAGATAGCTGCTTCTTATTTAGGGCTGTTTATGCTAATAAGGGAATGAATGGCAGACGGCTGCTTCTAAATTAGGGCTGTCTATGCTAATGAGGGAGAGAATAGCAGACGGCTGCCTCTCACTTAAGGCTGTTTATGCTAATGAGGGAGAGAATAGCAGACGGCTGCTTCTCACTTAAGGCTGTTTATGCTAATGAGGGAGAGAATGGTAGATAGCTGCTTCTTTTTTAGGGCTGTTTATGCTAATAAGGGAATGAATGGCAGACGGCTGCTTCTAAATTAGGGCTGTCTATGCTAATGAGGGAGAGAATAGCAAACGGCTGCTTTTCACTTAAAGCTGTTTTTGCTAATGAGGGAGAGAATGGCAGACTGCTGCTTCTTAATTAGAGCTGTCTCTGCTAATGAGGGAGAGAATGGCAAACGACTGCAAACCAATTAGGGCTGTCTGCGCTAATGAAGAAGAGAATGGCAAATGGCTGCTTCTCACTTAGGGCTCTCTATGCTAATGAGGGAAAGACCGGCAAACGTCTGCTTCTTAATTAGGGCTGTCTATGCTAATGAGGGAGAGAATGGCAGAATGCTGCTTCTCACTTAAGGCTGTCTATGCTAATGAGGGAGAGATCATCACTAATGGGCGGGACATTCCACCCTCTGACACTTACAAAAGGAGAATGTCAATCAGTGTTTCTGCAGACTGTTTTTATCAAGTGTGACTATAAAAAAATAGAATTAATTGATTTAACCATTAAACGCTGGCTATATTCACACACTGTTGCCACACAACTGTTTAAACCTCTTATAAAAGGGATTTTTGCATAATAGTTGCCCTTTAAAACACATCATGTGTTTTATCGTATTATTTCCAATCATGACTCATATTATGATAGTGAAATATGTAATTTAGCTTGTACATTTTTTGTAAGTTTAGATTTATGCCATTTTTATATATATGGTTTAAAATAAAGTTTGACCGATTCACGATTTTGTTTTGTTTTTTATTGTGTAACTAGTCAACTTAAAACATTACAACAACATAACTGAAGTAACATTCTTTTCATAAGTAACTTGAAAAACCATCGGATTGAGGAACATTGTATTTTTAATGGCCATGCCATACATAAATTGGTCAACAATTGGTAAATTGGTAAATATTGCAGTTGCAGGAATACAGAGGTATTTTTTGCAAGTTTTGCTGAGCCTAGGAAAGATTGGCTGTCAGCTCGGCTTTGACTTTGTCTTCTGATTGAATGACAGGTTGTAATGCTGCTGCCTTTTTCTTAAAAAATATACAGTGGAGTAAAGGACTGAACATTGAAACTGTAAAGCCTAATTTAACCCAATGTGTGAAGTTGTGGACGTATAGCAGGAGCAAATAAAAGCACCAGATGTGTGTCTAATATAAAATAATATAATTAATCTATTTTCCTTTTCCCCCCTTTTAAATATCGATCATTTGATGCACTTTGCACCACTCTCTGTATTATGCTGCCTGATCTGTCCGGTTTTTAACTAGGTCTGCTAAATGCAACATGGGGGCGGGTACTTTCATTTTCACTGCTACAGCTGTCAGCTGCTCACCTCTGCTCGTGTTCAAACCAAAAGATCAGCGCGGTTCGAACTAAGATCGGCACGGATTTTCACATGGCAGGTTTTTATGTCGTTCATACATGTTGAGATTGAGTTTATCGACTTAATGAGGGAATATGTCTTGACAATCCACACAGACGTGACTTAGTAAAGCATGAAGTCATGTAGGATTTTACTGCCCACAACTTCATGCATTGGGTCAAATTAGGCTGTCCAGTCTCTGTATTCAGTCCGTCACTACCATGATTGAACCCAGACAGGCAGTCAAGCAGGTCGCACACCAGAAGCGCCGCGACACGGCGCGCACATGACAGTTTAAAGTATCACACACCAGCGCAAATTCGCATGATTTTTAACATGAAACTAATCAGATGGCGCTCTGTGGCGTGGCTAAAATATCAATTGCGTCCTGAATCGTGGCTGGGCGGTGCCGGTGTGTGTAAAGAAACTTATGTTTAGAATTCTAAAATGCATGGCGCTGCGTGGTGCTGCACGACGCTTCTGGTGTGCGACCTGCTTCATACAGAGAGTGAATCAAAGCACATTGGTGCCATTATAATGTATCAAATATTTTTATTAAAAAATTGCAATTTCTCGATTTTAATATAAAATTAAATCCTCGTCAAAACATAAATTCACATTATTCGAAAAAAATCGCCCAGCCCTAATATATATATATATAAATATATATATATATATATATATATATACACACACACACACACACACACACACACACACACACACACACACACACACACACACACACACACACACACACACACACACTTGCCTACTTTTATTTAAAATTAGGGTTTGGTGTGTGATAGTACACCACTTTCTTAGGACTACACCACTGCTTTAAAGGAATAATTCACAAAAAATTAAAAACTCTATCATAATTTACTCATCATTTACTTGTTCTAAGTCTTTTTCTATTAAACACAAAAGTAGATGTTTAAAAAAATGTTGAAAACCTGTAACCCTTGACTTCCATAGTATTTGCTTATCCTACTATAGAAGTCAATGGTTACAGGTTTTCAGGTTTCTTTAGAATATCTTCTTTATTGTACTACTGAATAAAGGATTGGGACCATTTGAGTTTGCGTAAATAGTAAGTAAATTATATTTTTTTGTGTGTGAAATATCCCTTTAAATTAGATTTCTTTTTGTTTTAAATTTAAGAAATAAAACATTATGGTTGGAGATGCATTCTTGAGTCTAAAGGTCAGCTGGGTGTGGTTTGGGACAGATTTCATGTTTACCTTTGGCCCTTGAAGATGGTGTGAAGATGTCTTTAAAATTGCATTGTAGGGTTTTCAGTTTTCGTAGTTATACATTATGTAACCCAGAGTGAATTTGGGTTACCTAATATTGCAGTAAAAACAATATTTAACTAACTGTCTTTTTTCGAATGTCAACACAGCCAGTCCCATAACATATAAGACTGACATAAATTGCTTCAAAATAATCAAAATGAACAAATACTCTTGAAGTAATTTTCTCTGGGTTATAATTACATTTGACTCATCTGTATTTTATGGTTATTCATTAATTTTCCCAGCTTAGATCATCTTTAATATAATAATTTTTGTCATAAATCATTTTGACCCATATAACAGACCCGTAGCCAGCCTGGAGAAAGGGGTGTTTCTTTTTTTCTCAAAAAGTGGACCTTTATATACGCCTCAGTTTCTATTTAACTATGAGATTTAAATACTGCATTTTAGTGACATAGTGTGTAAAATGTTTTCTCTGTTTACAGTAGTGACAGAAGACTTCTCTTACATCAGATTATAGTTCCACTGTAACTACAGCCGACAGAGGATTCCGTTTAGTCTTCAAGCCTGTTTTGATGGATTATTTTCATAATTTATGATGGTTTAGCAGTCAAAATAGGATAAATGAGCTGATGTATAGGACAAATTCTGGTCGTTTGTCAGTAAGGGGTGGGTCTTCCAAACCACCCGAACCCCCTGGCTACAGGTCTGAAAAATTAGAACAGGTTTTATGCTTATAGTAAACATGTTTTAATAGAATTTTGTCTGTAAAAACGCACCTACAGTTGTTTCAGGCGCAGGTCAGATTTTCTCCTGGTCAAAATTTGTTTCATTTATATATATATATATATAAATAAATGTTATAATGTTGTCTAAATGATTTGACATGTCCAGTTTCATCTGGAATGCACCCCAGATCACCTTCCGAAGGGGTTTGAGCGATCGGATTTATATCGTCCCAGCTAATGTGGCCAGTTAGCCTAGAGCCTCATGGATAGGGGCAGATTTTCATCTATTAGGAAGTAAGTAACTTTAGCCTTACCCTGTTTGGCAGTCTTTTTGAACATATGTTCAATATTTTGCAAGAATGACGCCGCCGCCTGCCTTTTCTGCCTTCTTGCTCTTTTTGACCCACATCATTAATCAGTATGGATGTTGCATCAAAGATTCAAATGTTACCACTGGGTTATGTCACGTGACTCGCGTAACATTATTGTGGCTTTGAGGCTCTATGGGATTCGAATACTGGCCATAGTTATTTAAAATTACACTTTATTACAATATATTAAATATAAATATATTACATTAGTTATATAAAAGATATCGTATAATATAAAATTAGTTACATAAAGTAATTAAAAGGAATTCTGAGCCTTTTGGCCATGGGGGATGGTTCACTCAAACCGAACACCCCTGGCTATGGGCATGTATAATGCATTTTTGGCTATTCCCACAAATAAAATGTGTAACAATTTACATTATATGTAACCTTGGACCCATGGTCTTATGTTTCATGCACTCTCAGAAATAAAGGTACACAATCTGTCA